TAATTGAAAACGCCATCTGTAATTTAAATGTCAGAGCCGGGGAGGGTGATTAAATAAAAAAAAAACACCTCTTCTTGATTGCCGTGCCTCATTTCACAGTTTCAAAACAGACAAGAAAAGGATGTAAATGGAGCATGTAACACTGCAGTTGCGCGCAATTAATAATCTCTGCTGCCTGCCTCTCCTCGGCTTCCTTGCTCTCTCTCCATCTTTATCCATCTCTCCTTTTCCCCCTCGTGCCCTTTATCTCGATTTTCTTCCTCTCTTTCCCTCTTTATCCTTCCTTTCCTGCTTCTCTCTCTCTCTCTCTTTCTCTGGGCCTTCTGGAAAAGGAGGGTGAATCTCACAGCCTCTTCATCTCAGCCAAAGGGGATGAAAAGAGTCCCTCGTTCGAATCCTCCTCATCTTAGAACTGCAGAATGGCCCTATAGAGATCATCCGGTCCAGCCCAGGTCAAGGAGGCCCAGCGAGGATTCAAACTCCCAACCTCGGACTCTGCCGTCGGAGACCTCAACCACGGAGCTCTCCAGCCAGCTAAATGATCAAACTCTAATTTGAATGTTTCCTACGATCAACAGTAACATCATTTTTCTGATTCTACACAAGAATACATTTGGGGGTCTGGGAAATGGACAGGGTGCCCTGGGAAAATTAACCGGGGGCCCTGGGAGGGGGAAATGACTCAGGACCCAGGGGGAAAAAAGTCAGGTGACTCTCTGTCGGTGTAAAAAAAAAGTTGGTTTTTGTAAATGCAGGGAGGTGACTCAAAGCAGTGGGTGGGTGACCCCCCCGGCGCCTTTGCTCTTCATTTTTATATATTTGTTTTTATCTCGCACAGCAAGGGCTGTAATTGATCTACGAGTTTCCGGCGTTGCCTCTGGGAACAGTTTTCTTCGTAACACAAGAATAAAACTCGGCGAGGTCAACGGCACGGCAATAAATACCCAGTGATCACAAGGTGCAATATATTGGATTATTCCACTCTGGTGGCGACGGGGAGGAAGAGAAGATTAAATTCCCTCAACAAGGAAGGCAAAGTAGAAAGGGGAGAAAAACATTTCCCTTGGTCATTTTAAACTCTCCCTTTAAGTCCTTTTCCTATGGAAGTGTTGTTGATGCTTTGGAAATAAGAGAGAAATTCTCTGAAAAGCTAAGGTTGTGTTTTATACCAATCGTGATTGTAGGAAGGCAGGATACAACCGGTGACAGGAAGGGTTTCAGACACAGATAACAAAGATCTGGGTTCAAATTCCTGTAAAGCTTAGAGCAAGTGTGGAAAACGGTGAAAAGCAGGCTATAACGAGACCATTTTCACAGGCTCCCAGAGCACCCCTTCAGTTTTTCTGAAAGGGTTGAATAAGATGAAGAGTGACCCTTCTAGATATCTCTGAGAGTGCAGTCTCCGGTCGGACAAGGTGTGGGATCATTCTACCCTGTTTCTCCCCAAAAAAAGACCTAACCTGATAATAAGCCCTAGTATGATTTTTTCAGGATGCTCATCATGTAAGCCATATCCCAAAAATAAGCCCTAGTTAAGTGAAACCCCGCCCTCCACCCTTGTGCAGCCACCAGAAGAAGATGTCATGCCAGTATTAGATTAAAGATTGCTGTACATGAAAATAATAAAACAGGATCTAAAAATAAGCCCTAATACATTTTTTGGAGCAAAAATTAATATAAGACCCTGTTTAACTTTTGGGGAAACACAGTACACACTCAAACCATTCTTCCCCACAAATGGAAAGTACATTATTCACAATTATTCCCGTGGATGGAATAATTCCATGGAAAGATGGAATAATGATTCTATCCACAAAGGCTGAAAAGCTGGAGACCATTTTTCCCCCCTAAGAAAGGGGTGTTGTGTGTATTTCTCTTTGGCTAGAAAAATGCTTTGTTGTAATACCGTAATTCTTCCGCTAGATGGCAATAGGAACACTCTATGCTCAGTTAACATTGATGCTATTGCCTGATCCCAATGCTTTTGAAATTTTGACCTCTTGGCGGTCGTATGCTGTTTTACCCTTCTGGCTACTAAGTATGGGTTTTGAAACGCCGTCCTCTCCAGGTCTCTAACCCCCCCCCCCCAGTTCTGAATGCTTGGGGACTTAACTCTCCAGAACTGCTGAGACTAGTCCTCATGTTTTAACTAGATTGATCCAAATAGCTATGCCCAGCCCTCATTTCACAAACCACAGACTATTTTTACTGTCAAGGTCTTGGTTATCATGGGTAGGACTCTGGTTTCTTCATGGTGGCTGGGGCTCCAGCATCCAACCCCCCCCCAGCTCATCAAAACAAATTATGGAATTATGGGAATGGTGGTTTCCCCCTGACAAACGAACTCTTCTGGGCTCTTCCACCCTGTCAAGAGGGGGCCATCATCTTCAGAGGACATGATGGACAGCCAAAAAGGACCCCAGAAAGCCACTGAGGCCCTTATCTGACCGCGTCCATTCTAAGGTGATCCGTGGCCATGCATTCTTCATGGTGGCTGGGGCTCCATCATCCAACCCCCCCCCCAGCTCATCAAAACAAATTATGGAATCATGGGAATGGTGTTTTCCCCCTGACAAACAAACTCTTCCGGGCTCTTCCACCCTGTCAAGAGGGGCCATCATCCGTCCCTCTTCTTCAGAGGACATGATGGACAGCTGAAAAGGACCCCAGAAAGCCACCGAGGCCCTTATTTGACCACGTCCATTCTAAGGTGATCCACGGCCATGCATTCCTTGAAGCGATTAATTGCTTTCGGTTCAGCATGACGGGACAAGATCTCATCTTAATCGCCGTTATTTCTTCTTGTAAGAGCCGAATCAGCACAAGATGGGGTTTAGTTTGAGGGGGGGAAAGCAGCAGAATTGGATAAATTGCTTGCCTTTATCCCGAATGAGGTCTTTTCCCCCCCTCCCTGTTACTTCTGGAAAAAAAAAAAGAGCTGGAACAAGCACACAATATAGCGTGACGTCCACTTTCTCGGCATTCGTGAAGCGAGAGCAATCTGTGTCTCCCCACCCCACCACAAATCACTCCGTGATGTTCGTTTTCTCTCCTTCATGAACAGAACAACCTCTTCCACAGGACAAGAGAGAGAGAGAGAGAAAAACTATATATAGAACGAAGTATTTCCCCCGGAAAGATTGCTTCTCTTTGCTGCAGCTCCCTGCTATGCGATTGTGGGCTCATTGCTGGAAACGACGTCCACTGAGGTTCTTGAGCTGGCGCGTTTTCTCCGGTGACGAAGCTGCGCACTCTGTACCCGCGCAGGAGCATCGGTGGACTCCAGGATCCGTCTTAACGGTTGCATCTTAATGCAATTGAGCCGTGGGAGAGCCAGGGGCTTGGAGATTTTGGGGGAGAGCGGTGAGCTCTCACTGCCAAACGGCCCTCTTGGTAAGCTCAGGAGTTATCTTGCAATCAGAAAGGGGAAGTGGGAGGTGTCCCCCTCCCCGTGGCTGCTGCTTCCCCAACCAGATTTGTGAGACAACAACTCCCAGCAGGTCCAGGGGAAGATGGGAGTTGTTCTACACACCTAGAGGGGGAGGAAAGCTGGTTTATAAATGAACCGAACTTACTTGGGAGGTAATAGATAGACTCCCTCTGTTTTAAGGTGAGATGCTGGTACAATACGTCGCGAAGGGAGGCCCTCTGGATGTAGCTGGACTCCTACGGACATCCTCCCTTCTCTAGAGCAATGTCACATGAGGATGATGGGAGTTGTAGTCTACTCACCTTTGGAAAGTCAATCCTCCCCCCCCAATTCCCCACCTTCTGCTGCTCAATGGGACATCCTCCCTTCTCTAGAGCAATGTCAGCTGAGGATGATAGGAGTTGTAGTCTATTCACCTTTGGAAAGTCAATCCTTCCCCCCCCCCCAATTCCCCACCTTCTGCTGCTCAATGAAGCCCTTTGACCTGAACATGCTTCCCAGATTTGAAAGGGGATCCATGCTTGGGGCATGGGGGCGGGGAGGCACTCTGTCCATGCTCAGAGGCAGAGGGAAATTTGATGGCGCTGAGCCCAGAGTAAGATTTTTGGAAGTGGATGTTTTGGGACCTCTAATTTCAGAAATGAGGGGATGAAATAAAAGGGGGAATTGGTTTTTTTAAAAAAGGGAGGAGGTGGACCCCTTTTTTTGCGGTGCTCTGGCGCCACCTGTTGGCTGTGTGGAGCCATGCATCTGGGGAGCCGTGGCATCACAGTGGAACATCAACACAGGAGTTTTGGCATCATCATCAAGTCACCTACGGTCTCTTGTCTGTCCCATGTTCTGACATCCTACTTTTGTATGTGGATTGATTGTTTTATTTATTTATTTATTTATTTATTTATTTATTGCCATGAAAAAAACACCCCTTTTCCAAGGCACTGGCTTTTTCTGGTGCAACCGGGCAGGATTTGGCCATTTCTCCTGGACTTTAAAATCTGCAAAAACTTGTTTCCAGATAAAATGGCTCAATGGCAATACCTAGTGGCTGGATCCAGACACAACCCTCAGAATCTTATCTAGATTTAGCACTCCGGTATAGACTGGGCTGTAAATGGACTGTCTTTATCCCTTTAATGTCCTCGGATTTTGACCAGGGTGGGGAAAGGGGTGGCCTTTCAGAGGTTGTTAGACTACAACTCCCATCAGCTCCAGCCATGAGTAGGGAATAATGGGGGGCACAGTCCCACAAGAGAGGGCCACCCTTTGCCAGCCTCTAAGTTAAGGATTTAGTCCGCGTATGAATGGTTTCATTAGGACCCGCCCAAGGTTTCTGTTGACGACAAAGGATGATGGGGTTGGTAGTCCAAGAGATCTGCAGGGTCCAAGGCTTGCCTCTCTGGCTCAGGAACGGATTCTTCTTATTCCTTCTTTGGCCCTTTTTAGACATCATTATTTCTGTCCTCGGCCACACACACACACCCCCCACAAGTGTGCGATTAGAAGAAACGAGAAAATCCAAGGAGGGGGGTCACGAGAACACAGAGACATGGGAACAAGAGTGGATGCAGGGCAGCATTTATTTATATCCCTTGGTATGGGTGTGTGTGAGAGAAAGAGATTGAAAGCAACAGAAGTCCCTCTCCTGGACGTTGTCGTGAAATCAGGACAAAGACGCTGGAAGTGTGGGGGTCAACAGAAAGGGGAAAAACGAATATTATGGCTTTATTTTGCCTGCCCCCCCATGAGGGTTGTCCCCGGGACAGAGCGCCACCTGTGAAAGCAGGCATAATGTCCAGGCAGGGGATCCGAGGTCCGTCCGAGGCCGTTGACAACAGAAGGCAGGCCAGATGATTGAAGATGATTGACCTAAAACTCAGGTAAGATCAGAAATGCAAGCGGTTCAGCTCACGTTGGCCAAATGACTTTCTGCCTTGGAATCCTTCAGGTACCATAATGGCTGGCATCTTCCAGCCATGCTAGCCGGTGAGATCTTAAGAGTTTTTCTTGGTCTGGGAAGATTTCCCTCCCAGCAAGAACAAAATCTTATTTCACACCCAACCCAGAAACTGAATATCAAGCTTATCTCTCTCTCTCTCCCAGAGCTATTGCAACTGATCTCTAGCACAGCCCACCTTAACTTGGGTGGCCATGTGGAAAAAAGATCAGTGCTCCTCTGCTTTTAACAGTGAGGGGAGAAAGGAAACGTCAGCACTGGAAGTCATCTCCTCTTTCATGCAACCTCGCCCTTCTGTTCAAGTGGCTACTCTCCTTTTCGTTTAATAGCTAAGTCAGCCTCCATTTCAATCTATGCTGCGCTGCTTTGCAATTCACACAAAATCCCCACATTCTCTTTTGTTTTAACGTAAGGAAAAAAAGATCTTGTGAACTTTCAGAGCATTTGATCATCCCGGGAGGCTTCTATTTGGCAAAACTTGCATAGTTAATATTGTGTTTAGTCCATGCAGAGATTCTCTCTTGTTTGGATAAGGGCCGGTGCGGTGAGTGAGCCCTGATCGACAGGGGTGCTCTCCGAGTAGACAGCTAGGGTTCAATTGTCACGCTGCTGTGGGTCATGCGTGCTCCATACCATCCTCTCCAGAAGACTGTGTCTTGGCCACCATGTTCAAAGCGGACAAAGCGAACTCCAGGGCCGTAGTCAGTGAAGGTGTGGGTGATCTTAAATGGAAGAGGGGGAAGCCGAGAGGCAGACAGTGGCATGACGAGGGGGAAAAACAAACGACGAAAAGAGTTATAAATCTGTTTGACTACATTGGTCAGAGATTCTAAAAATTGCTTTTTGGGCATAGCGCTTCCAGAATCCACAGTGGCTACACCAGATGAAGGATTCTGAAAACTGCATTGCAGAAGACCCATCCAGTCTCTGGGTTATTATGACCACTTCGCAGATCCGGCCCAAGATATTTTGCCACCTGAGGGTGGAGAGCAAAAACCCCTCCCCCCAACCCAATTAAGCTGCGTGGTACAGAAAGCCAAGCAAATTCCTTTGGGTCCGAATTTCAAATGTCTCTCCAACTCCAACCTCCCCTCTGCCACAAAAATCCTCAAAAATTGCCATTTGCGAATTCGCTCCTCGTTCGCGACACCCAAAATTTGCTGTCTTGGGCAACTGCCTCACCCTGTCTAATGGAAGGGCAGTTCCTACCGTGCCATGCGCAGAAAAGCGGTAGGGACCAGCGGCTGTGCTAGTAAGGGGACAGCATCCCAACGCATACACGCAAACACACATATGTGCAGTTTTTGTCTTCCCATAGAAAGGAACCGCTCAGGAGGACCAGCTGCAGTGACACTATTGTTGCCCAACAATATCTGCTGCCGGAGGCGCTATCCCATGCCTCTCTCAATTCAGGGTCTCGTCCGTCTGCCTTTCCTCATTAGCAAATCTCTCGTCCCACCCACCTCGTTCCACTCGCCTTCGTTGTCCTGCGGGATGGAGATGGTGTCGCTTTCAAATTCTGCCACCACGTCCTCGTTTTCGGACAGCAGCTTGGCTTTCAGGCCATAGAGGCAGCCGGCGTCGCCTCGGCCCGCATACCTGCAGGAGGAGATGTTGCTTGGTGGGAAACGACGGCGCTGGAAAAGGGCGGCGTGTTTTCCACCGTGCTCTGATGATGGCCCTGCCCCAAATCTCCAGACCGCTGTTTGAATCCGTATCTACCTACCCAGATCTGAGAGCAGGAGCAGGTCTTTTGTGAAGCAAATGGCTCTTGATTACCCAACTCAACCACCTTGGACAAATTCAGATGCTGTCAGAGGTCTCTCTCTCTCTCTCTCTCTTGACACTTACCAGTCTCTGACCACGATTTTCGGCTGGAGGGTGTCCATCAGCTCTTCCCAGTACCCCTCTGCCCGAAGGTCGATGATCTGAGCTTTACTGCACCAGCTGGAACAGAAAAAGATTCACATAGCAGGGTCTCAGAGAAGCTAACCATCTTGGAGGATTTGCAGACCAGAAACAGTCGCTTGAAGAAGAAAAAAACCCATGCACGCTCCATAAAATGGAAGAAACCAAACCCCAAATTAAAATTGCATTTCAGAAGTGGTTAGAAATTCAAGACTCCCAACAGATTAGATTCAAAGCCTTTGGAAAAGATTGATCATTCCTTCTGCTTCTCTCCTTTCACTCACGGGGGCCCAAATGTCTTTATAAATCCAGGGGAAGCCCAAGAAATGGAAAGCAGTCACAAGAAACAGAGGATAGAGCCAATAAAATAAAATAAAATTGAGGGGGGCGTAACCTCCGTTTTGAATTATTGTTATGGTTAATAGCAATGCACAATAATATAAGAACTTAAAAAGACGACAAACCAAAAAAAAATCAAATATGTACTATAAAGACCAAAAAGGAACAAATTTAAATCAAAAGAAAAAAATCATACATCATGCCATGCTTCCTCCTCAAACTTATTTTTATGACCCATGTGGACTAGGAGCTTGGTTTTTGAAACCAAGTTGTCAAAGAGAAGCCCAAGGCACCCATGTTGGCCTGTTCTGTGGGCCTTCGTTCATATCATTGTCACAACCGCAATGCCACCGAATGTAGAGAGAAACTGGACATACCCAAAAGAAGAGGCGAAGTATTTGTGAACGTCGTCATGGGGAAATTCCTGCCCGAAATCTCCAGGCAGGTCCTCGATTTTCCACCCGTCGCCCTCGTTTTCCACCTCTACCCAGAAATCGAAGCCTTCTGTAAAAAGGACAGGAAGCTTAAAATCCTTCTACTGCATTTTTATTCATGGCCCCAGAATTTCCCCGGGAGCAGGAAAAAAGATGATGAATGTCTCTTTGCTTCGTCTGTACCAGGAGGACAAAACAGAGAGGCCAGCCTGTCTGCACCGCAAAGCTGAAACTGGTTTCGTGTTCAGAATTTCCTTTAGAGAAAACATGCATCACATATTTAGGGAGGGCTTTTCCCATCGTACCCCTGAATCCAGCAGGGATTGGTTCCAAGCCCCCCGTGGATGTGGAAAATCATGGATAATAGCAAACACTATCTATAACACTTTCTGAGCTACTGGCCTTCCATCAGTGCTGTTGAATTACTGTTTTATTTCCCGCTGCCCCCCCAAAAAATAAACAGGCAGAAATCCACCAGGAGCAGCAGGGAAAACCCAGTTCCAACAGGAATCTGTCTCTTTTGCATTTCTGCCTGCGATAGCGCTATTCAGTTTGTCTCGGGTGAGGAATGGGCAAGTGGGAAGAAGGAATCTGGTCTTTTAATGGACATGCTGGGCAGTGGATTATGGGTTTTGTAATGTCCCCCCAGGAAAAAATGAGCTACTTGCCTTCCCCATTTGGGTTTTTGATCAAATTCCTTTTCCTCTCGTGTAAGAAGTAGAGCATCTGCCACCTCTCCCCACTCTCCTCTTCGGCATCGTTCCCCACGAATCCCTCCTGTTGGCATTTCAGGAGCCAAAGGGCCTCCCCGTCGACCAGGGTCTTCCACTGGGAACACACCAGCCGGCAGACCAGCACCAGTTCGACCGCCGGAAGGGAGGCCAGGATTCGGACCAGCAGAGGCTCCGGGAGGGTCTCCATCTTCTCAGACAAAGGAAGAGGCAGAGAGCAGGGAGGAAAAAATTGTTTCAGCAGAACTCGAAGCTTTCAAAAAGAGTTTCCTGGATTTTGTACTACCGTGCCCATTGGCCTTCAGCGGCACGGCATGCAGCAGGATGGGCCACGGAGTACCAAACATCTGAAAAGCCCTGAATTGGGAGGAGACTATTCTGGAATAGAGGCCTTGCTGGCCAGGGAGGGTCCCATCCTGCTAAACCTGAGTCCCCCAGACGCTGGACTTTAAATCCCAGAAACACAGCAACAACATTGACAGGAAATCTGGGATATGTAGTCCGCCATCTGTGGATCAACATTTCGAAGGACTCAGTCTGGAGGAGGAAGGAGCGAAGCCTTGAACCCAGACCCTGTTTACCTGGGAGCAAGCCCTACCTGAAATTAATGGGATTTATCACCGTCAATATAGGATCCGTGTCAGTTTATGTATTTATTGCCTGTTTTTTTTTAAAAAAAAATCTGGAGGGGGGTTAAATTGATTGGTCATCCTCCTCCCCAACACCCATGAGGCTGAAACCAGCCTGTTCGTACAGGCTGCCAAAAAAAAAAATCCTTTGATTTGAATCGCATCTCACAGAGTTGCAAAATTTAAGGTCGCACTTCCAGACTGAGACCATCACATTCAATCCAGCACATTCTGGATCCGTGGGACTACACCTCCCATCGTCCTGCACCCAGCCAGCAGCCTGAGAGGACAGGGAAGGGGAGGCTGAAATCCAGCATGTTCGTACAGGCTGCCAAAAAAAAAAATCCTTTGATTTGAATCGCATCTCACAGAGTTGCAAAATTTAAGGTCGCACTTCCAGACTGAGACCATCACATTCAATCCAGCACATTCTGGATCCGTGGGACTACACCTCCCATCGTCCTGCACCCAGCCAGCAGCCTGAGAGGACAGGGAAGGGGAGGCTGAAATCCAGCACCTTCAGTGAGTGCTTTATTTATTTATTT